ACCGAGGAGGGAGCTGAGCCGGAGCCCCGACGGCGCCTCTGCATGGAGCTGGGACGCTGAGCGTCGCCCGCTCCCATCGCTCTGACCTCCCCGGACCCCGGCGTCCAGGCCGCCCGGTTGGCTCTCGTGTCCGCTTCGGGGCGTCTGGCCATGGAGCGGGGCAGCCGCTGCCACCGCCTCCTGCAGCTCGTCTTGCTGGTGCTGGGGTTGAGCACAGCCCCAGCCTGGGCAGGTAAGAGCAGTCCAGGCTCAGGCCGGTCCCCTGGGGCCCAGCTCGAGGTCCCTGGGCAGGGACAGCTGATGCCCGGGGCTGAGGGTCAGTTCAGGGTCCAGGCTGCGAGGCAGGATACCGGGTTCCTTCCTTGAGATGACATGGAGTGGACAGGCCAGGTGGAAAGGTGGGGGACCTCAGAAAGCCTGGAGCAGGGCAGGATTCCTTATCCTGGGGTGGACCTGAAGATGGCCAGAGCCAGTCTGGTCCATCTTTGTGTGCTGGGCTGGGGATGGGAATGGTAGATGCCCATCGTCGTGATGAGTGAGGGGTGTGTGTGACCCTTGGGGCAAGTAGGGTGTCTGTGGGTCAGACTGGGGCAGGAGGGAAGACTCCACTGACTGTCCCATTGGTGTGTCCGCCTCTCCCCTGCCCCCTCCCTGTGCCCTGGATGCTGCCACGCGGCTGGCTCTAGGGAGCACTGAGGCCGGCTGCCAACAGGACTGCTGCCGGACAGGCCCGGATCAGGTGTCTCAGACTGGAGCCAACTCTTTGCATTCCTGCCCCTCCCCTCCCCCATTGGCCCATCTGGCTCCCCGGGGACCCCAGTGCCCATGACCCCAATCTGTCCCTTCATTTTCCCAGGATTCAGAAGTGCTGGCTCATAGAAGAACCGGGTTGGCGTCCTAGAGGAGGGGCCTGGAAGCACCTGGACCCTAGGCAGATCCTACGTCTGGGATCCACTGGGGAGAGAAATGGTCCTAAAGGCAGCAAACCTAGAGGAGTTAGGTTGGATTACAGAAAGAACTTCCCAGAGGAGAGGCCTGTGAGACGCAGGCTCAGAGACTGGAGGGGGTTGACTAAGCTCCTGCTTAGCCCGGGAAGGGGACCCCGATTGCCAGGGAGACAGGGATGGCCAAGATGACTCTCTTATTTGGGAACTGGGGGAGTGGAGCTGGGACTCAATAGGGAAGTGGGTCCCTGGAGAACTGATAAGAGTGACAGCTGAGGGGTATTTAGGGCCAGAGGGGGAGTGAGGGGCTGATGGGGCCCCCAGAGGGGACTTGGTGGGGCACCAAGTGAGGCCAGTGGCCTGTGGTGGGAAGACTGTGGGTGGACTTTCAGGGAATCCGTCTCTAGGACCCAACTGTATTTTTCTTAGTTTGGTGGAAGGTGGGGGCCTCCTGAGGTCTCCTTGGCCTGGGGTCTCTGTGAGTCTCTGTGTCTCTGTCTCCCTCACTCCCTGTCTCTCAAAGCAGCCCTTGTGTGTTGGTGTTTGCCGAGCCGCCACACGCGGGGGCCGGCTTGGGTGGGGGCGGTGGGGGGGGCAAGGCCGTGGTTTCCCGGCTCCTGGACTCAAAGGGCCTTTTCTCCCTCTGCCCGCTCCACCTCACCCACCCCACCCCGCTCTGCTCTCCCGACGGCTCTGGCCCCTGCCCTGCCCCACACTTCCATCAACGTTTGCCTGGAACTCTTACTGGGAATCCCACCCACCTCACCCCCGTCTCCCCTCACCCACACACACACTCTGGAGCCGATGGTATGTATCTGTGGGCAAGTGAGGGAGAGGTGCCTTCCAGTTTGAGCCCCAGCAAGCTGAGTCCCAGGTGCACTGGTGGCCTGGGGCTGGATTCATTAGATGGTGGGCAGTGGGGCAGAGTCCAGGTTCCAGGTGTGGGGAGCTCGCCTGGGTTTGGGGCAAGGAAGCTGATGGGATCCACAGATGTGTGGCTCGGGGCCCTGGCCCTGCTCCAGCCCCCTCGTGGCAGCATCAGGTTCCCCCTCCCCACAGCCCATCTCCCGGTGCAGGGGGCACAGGCTCCCGGGGTGGCTCTTTCTGACCTCCCCTGCCCCAATGTAGCCAGCATCATTGTCCCCACCTCCCCAAAGGGCTGCCTCCCTGCTCCCTCCCTTGTCCCCCCCTCTCGCTGCCCCTGCATCTCCTGTGCCCAGCATGATCGATTGTCCAGATGTTGTTTGTGCTGGTGCAGCAGCAGGACAGAGGCCAGAGACGCAGAGATATGGAGAGGGAGTGAGAGAGGAGAAAGCGAAACTGAGCAGAATGTGAGGGCTGTCGGGGAGCAAAAGGGACCAGAGGATGAAAAGCCAGCAGATACAGAGACAGGCAGTAAGAGACGAGGCACCCGAGAAAGGAAAAAGGAGGGAGCGTTGAGTGACGTATTTCCCCGACGTCTTATTTCCTATGGTGGTGTTTCCGTAGGGAGCGAGCACACTCACTATTCTGCAGGGCGGCTCCGGTCACTGACCACAGTCCGACTCCTTCCTCTCTCAGTCACACACACTCCCTCCCTCCAAAGTTCCTGTCTCGCCTTCTGCGTTGCTTTGGTCAGTTTGGGAGTCTTCAGCGTGTAATGGTTACAGCCTGGGCCGCAGGCCCAGAAGGTCAGCAGTTCGAAACGACCACAGGAGAAAGACGGGGCTTTCTACTCCCATCAGGAAACCCACAGGGGCCGGTCTACCCTGTCCTATGGGGCCGGCATCAACTGGATGGCGGTGATTGTCAAGTTGATCCCGTGCAGACAGTTCTTAACCTTTGCTAATCAAGCTAAGCGACTATGTAGGTTTCAGGAGCCCTGGTGACGTCGTGGGTGACGGATTGGACTGCTGACACAGGGGAACAACGTGACCCACCAAACGCCCCAGCTGTTCCGTGGAAGAAAGACAAGGCTCTCTGCCCCCAGAAAGACTGACGGCCTCGGAGACCCCTGGGCCAACTCTCCTGGCCTCTAGGGCGACCCTGTATCAGAGCGGACTGGCAGGCAGTGGGTTGGGTGTGGCGTTGTTCAGGTTTAAGGTGACCTCGGGGGATAATTCTGAGGGTACTTATCTCAAGGTTATAGTTGCAGGGGTCATCCACTCCCATGAACTCATGAACGTTTGACATTCTGTTCTTCATTCCCCCCTTCTTGGGCAGGACTCTTCTATGGAGTCTTTGACCGAAATGTGCAGTCACAGTTGTTGGGCGCACCCGGTCCTGGCCATCATGGCACGGACGCTGTTGTCCTGTGGCTAGTTGGCCACAGAACCCCATCCTCCTCCTCTCCCGGACCCCCGTGAATAGAGGCCGTGCGCTGGGCCTCGGATGGCCTCTTACAAGTTTGTCGGACCCCAGGGATTATGCACTTGGAGGTAGAAAGGGAGCCCCAAGCTGGTGCTAGGCCAACTCACTGGGATGTCCCATGAACCGATGGCCCCGGCCTCCACACCAAGGACTCACACCCCTTGAGATCTTGAGTTGTACATTAGCAGCCTCGGCAGCTGGTCTTTGTATTTTTTTTAGTAAATATATCACCCAACGTTTGCCAATTAAACTTTTTACAGGTGTCCGATTTATTGACAGCCATTAGCACAATCTGTTTTGCAACGCTACCTTTTAGCCGTGTGACAGCCTCAGGTGACCGTTCTATCACCTTAACCTCTCGGGTCCACCCCACCCCCGCCTCTGGTAATCACACATAGACATAGGTGTCTATGCATTGGCATTTAAGTGAGAGGTTAGAGGAGACCTGTGGCTAGGTTAAGCTGAGATAGGAGAGAGTAAGGGAGGGGACACTGGGAGGGAAAGGACAGGACTTGAGGACTTGCTGATGATACGCTGCCGTCCCTCTGGTGATGGTGACCGGCTTTCACATCCATTCGGGTCCCCTTTCTGATGCTCTCCTGAGGGCAGGGCCCTTCCTCTGACCCTCCCGGATTCTCCCAGGTGCTGCCCGTGTGGATGTGCTCCGGGCCTTGAGGTTCCCCTCTCTCCCTGATGGGGTCCGAAGGACAAGAGGCATCTGTCCAGCTGATGTGGCCTACCGAATTTCCCGCCCCGCCCAGCTCAGCGCCCCCACCCGGCAGCTCTTCCCAGGTAGGGGTCACAGGATGGGTCGAGAGGGCTGGAGGTGGCCATCCTGGCAGGACACCAGCAGGGGAGGGGCCTTGGGCTCTCATGGACGTCTTATTCCACCTGTGTGTGTCTCTCTCGGGGACCAGGAGGTGTCCCCAAAGATTTCTCTCTGCTGGCGGTTGTCCGGACCCGACCTGGCCTCCAGGCTCCGTTGCTGACACTCTACAGTGCCCAGGGCATCCGGCAGCTGGGCCTGGAGCTCGGCCAACCTCTCCGCTTCCTGTATGAGGACCAGACGGGGCGGCCTCGACCCCTAGCTCAACCGGTCTTCCGAGGCATCAACCTGGCAGATGGCAAGTAAGTCTGGTCTGGCTGTCCCCCACTTTCTGGAGCCCCCCTCTGATGTGAGCTTCAGATGACGGAATGATCTCCTGGTGCTTGGTGCGTTGTAAACACCCAGTCAACAATACGAGGACATGAGGGGGAAGGATGTGGTCGTTCGTTCTGTGACAATTTACGGCCCGGAAGAGCTTGTGAGACCGGCAACTCTGTCCCACAGGCCGACTCTGAGTCGAGGGGACTCCACTCAATGGCTGCGAGCGTGGTTTTGGTGTTCCGATTTCTAGCCGGCCCTGGGGGTTCTAGGGTAGAATTCTTGCTTTCCACGAGGTTGGCCAACTCCCGTCATGTGCAGCCCTTGCATGCCAGTGGAGGCTTCCCGGTTGCTATGGAAGCAGCACTTCCAGACCAGGATGGTCCAGGAAGAAAAGTCGGTCAACTGACCTTTGTAGATCCGAGCTCAGCAGTCTGATCTACAACTCACCGCGGGCGGGCCGTGTTCTGGTCTGCTGTGCTCGGCTGCCATGGACCAGGGCCGGCCGAAGACAGCGAGTGACAGACAGCAAGTGTGGTGACAGCTCCTGTGAGCAGTGGTTTCCACGCTTCCATCAAGAGCCCCCCCGACCCCCCCTACTGATTTTCAGACAGTCACTTGCCCCTCTCCCTCCACGACCAGGTGGCACCATGTGGCTGTGGCCGTGAAGGGCCAATCTGTCACTGTCATTGCTGATTGCAAAAAGCGGGTCACCCGGCCCCTACCCCGAAGTGCCCGCCCTGTGCTGGACACCAGTGGAGTGATCATCTTTGGTGCGCGGATCCTGGACGAGGAGGTCTTTGAGGTGAGCTGAGCAAGGAGAGGGAAAAGCAGGGTCTGCCGTCGTGCGTTACGTCCATGCCCCCGTGCCCCAGCACTCCGTCTTCTCACTGCCTGTGACTCCGTGTCTTCAATTTCTTGTCTCCAGGTCAATTTTCTCTTTAGGAAAACTAGGTGCCCACTCCATGGCAGGTCTGTGCACGGCCAGGTATCTTGTCGCTCAGGCTACGACCACTCGCCCGTCCATCCATTTAGACCATCCACATACCTATCTAAGCATCCCTTCCTCTACCCTCCCATGAATCTGTTCGCCACCACTCATCCAATCACCACCCAATTCATCTGTTCACCACTGACCCACCCATGTTTCTGATCTGCCACTCCTCCTTCCTGCGGGTCGTCCACCCGACTGTTTGTCCATCCATCTTCTCCAACCCATCTACCCCTTCGCTCATCTGCCCACCCACCTATCCTTCCACCTACTCAATCACCCCTTCAGCCTCCTCCTCCACCTCCTCACACAACCACTCACCATTACCCAACGATGTACATTTTCATTCTTATCCATCTACCGCACCATCTTCCCATTGCCCTGTACTTCCATCCATCGCCTTCAGTATATGTGTAGATGGATTCATTAATTTACCATCCACAAAGCCACTCATTCGGTCATGCCGTCCAGCCCCCCACCCCATCCACCCACTCAGCTACCTTTCACGCCACCAATGAATCCATCTTTGGGGCCCACCCATCTATTGAACCTTTTGCCCATTCACTCACCTATCCACCCACAAAGGCATACGGGTCCCCACCCTCCAACCAGCCAGCCAACATTCCCTGACCATCTGCTGGCCTGATGCCAGAGGCACCGTTGAAGACCTCTGTCGGCCCACGCAGCTCCCAGTTTGTCTCTGCGCACGAGACACTCTCCCTCCACCGCAGGGCAAGGCACAGTACTCGATGGCAAAACGCATGCCCCGGGAATTCAGAGACAAGGCCCCCTCTCCCGTCTCCCGCGGTTCGGAGCATTCTCATCATCACTGCCAGTGGCAGGTCAAGGTAGCAGCTAGACCTGGGCCACTCTTTCCGGCAGGCCTCTGTGAAAAGGTGCATGAGTTGTCACAAGGGACCGTTACAAGGGGCCCTGTGTTGAGCTTGGGGCTGGAAGGCCCGGGTTCCAGCTCTGGTTCTGGAGCTGTGAGTGGTCCATCACCATTGCCTCATGGGCCTCCCTGAGTGGAATGCCTCTGAGCAAGGGGTCCTGAAGGTCCTTGTCTTCTGGCTTTCCCAGCTGTCGTGAAGATCCAGTGAATTTAGGGACGAGGAGGGCCTGGTAAAGCTGAAGTGAGCCGTGCGTTTGGGAAAATGGATCATGCCCTTGTCCCGGCATTCCAGTTTGTCCTAGGACCCGCCTCTGGTCCTCCGTGGCTCTGTCGCTACCTGCCCCCATCGGTCCTGTCCTTTTCCTCCTGCAGGGTGACCTCCAGGAACTCGTCCTTGCTCCTGGGGTTCGAGCTGCCTATGAATCCTGTGAGCAGAAGGAGCAGGAGTGTGAAGGGGGCCCGAGGGACAGACCTCAGAACCAGCAGCCTCACAGAGCCCAGAGATCCCCAAAGAAGCACCCATCCAAACTTCATAGGCCGCAGAACCAGGAGCCCCAGCGCCAGGTGAGGACGGAGCTAGGAGAACCCTCAGCCGCAGCCTACCTCCGAAGGGAAAGCCATCCAGAGTCCTCTCCGGGGGACTCCTGTCCACCTGGGGCTCCCATCCTCGCACCCCTTGGGCGCCCCTCCCCATCACATGCTCTTCTCCCATCCACCCCCTTACCTGGTTCTCATCCAGCCATCTTTTTACTTTTATTTACGAGCAAAAAGGGTCCTTAGGAAGACGTTACGGCTGGGAGCTGTGTCCCCCTGCTTGTGTCTCAGCCGCTTTCCCTAGATCTAAGTCCTGGGGTTTCTCAACCTTTCCTTCAACTAAGTGATCGGGAGAGAGTCGATGAGGGCCAGGCGTGGGGAGGGCGTTTGGGGAGCCGAACAGGGAGAGGCAGAGGGGGAGAAAGAAATTGAGGTGGTAAGACCAGGTAGGAGAAACGGATAAGCTGTGGCCGATAGAGAGGGTGCCTAAAAGGTGGTGGATCTGCCAAGTGTGGGGTGAGGAAGTCAGCCCCTAGACCTCTGCAAATAGAGGTGCGGGGTGCGGGGCTCCCGTGGGAGGTGGGGGGGGAGGAACTGGTTTGGATGGTAGATGTGGTCTGGGGTCTGTGGTTTGAAGATGGGAGGGCCACTCTCATAATCATATCTGCTTCTGCCCCACATGTGAGACCTGTTCCCCATGTCCCGCCTCTCCCCGATCTTTCTCCTGACCACCAACCTCTTCTTTCACCCTCCCGCCCCCTACTTCCTGTTCTCCAACTTCATGTCTCCTGGTTCTTACCTCCCACACCATCTCTTCACCTCCTTCTTTCCCACCTTTCCCTGCTGATCCTCCAATCACCCGACCCCCTTCCTACCTGCTCCCCTCCCTATTTCCTCAACCCCAGCCCACTGAGTTGCTCTACTATGACTACGAGCCCCCCTATTACGATGAGATGACTCCGGGGACGACCCCTGATTATCAGGTAAACTCGAGGGACCCCTTCATGTCTCACTTTCCATCTACCATCCCTGACAAACGTCTGCGGTGACATCTGCCTGCGTTCCCCAGTCTATGGGAGAGATGCCCTTTCACATAGGGGGTGGGGGCCTACTTACTTACTGCCCCTTCCCATGTCTCTCTACTGCAGCGGTCCCGGAGCCCCAACCACAAGGCTTCCCCTTCCCCCAGGGGCCGCCGGGCCCCTCCCCGAAAGCCCACCCCACCTGCCAAGAGGTCATCAGCCCGGCAGGCACCCCCTCCAGCAGGCCGGAGGCCCTCCAGGGTTGGGGGATCCAGCCCAGCACGGGGTCAGCCTCCTCCCTCCCGGCGCCCAGCTCGACGGGCAGCTCCCCTCGCTGCCCAGGGCCCCTCCAGGACCAGAGGCACTGGTTACCGGCAGGTAGAGCCGGGGCATCCAGATCTCTGCTCCCAAACGCCTAACGCCTGGGAGAGTCCTTCTCCCTAAACTGTCCCACTCTTACGGGGCTGCAAGATCTGAGATTCCCCCCACCCCCCAGCATGGGACCAATGCTGCCCTCAGGGGCGTGCTGCTTTGCCTCCCTCAGGCTAACTGCTCGATCCTTCCTCTTTCCTACCCATGCTCCTCTGCCCCTTTCCCTCCCCTGGGGGTTAGGACCCCATCCCGGTGGAAGAAGGAGGAATGCTGGAAACAAGCCCTTTTCCATCCCCGGAGGAGGTAACTCCACCCCCTGCCCTCAGCCCAGCCGGAGACCAGGGCTATCTAGGACCTACTCGCCTGGTCCCACGTCATCTTGGGTCAGTGCCTCCTCTGGCCGGAGGGCTCTTTGTCATATTCATTTGTGACCGTCTGTCTGTCTTCTGGTCGCTTCAGACCTATGGATGTGCTTGCCTCTGAGTGTGGCTACCACTTGCCTGCCCCCTCCCCTCCCCCAGTGTCCATGTTGTGTTTGTGCCCAGCACTTCTTTGATCCCAGAGTGACTTTTTCTCCATCGGTGTCAAACGGCCACACCCTCTTTGCCTTCATCCCATTCTCAGGAGCCAGTTTCTGCTAGACACTGCCACTTTTCCGACTCTCTACCCATCGCTTTATTATTTCCTGGGTTCTTTTGGCCCTCCTGTGTCCATGGACTGTCCAGTCTGCGTCCAGCCCTCCGGCCACCCTTCTTGTCGTCCCCTGTCTTCCCCACTGGCCCGTGGTTTTGGACCCACTTCCTGTGTTGAAACTTTGACGCCCATTTCCGTCCCATGGGGCTCTGCTTTTCTTGGGGCTCCTGCCTCAATGACCCAGAGGCTTTGGGGTTAGAAGGTGCCACCTTTTGGGGTCCCTGGAAAGGTTCCTCTCCGCCCTAATGCCCCATCAACCTCCTCTCCCTTCCCTTCTCCCCCCACTGGGAAGGCGCAGACCGATCTCCAGGTGCCCCCCACAGCTGACAGGCTCCAGGCAGAGGAATATGGGGAGGGTGGCACAGACGCCCCTGAGGGGCCCTACGAGGAGTACACCTATGGCTATGGGGATGATTACCGGGAGGAGACCGAGCTCGGCCCTGCCCTCTCTGCGGAGACAGCCCACTCGGGAGCCGTAAGTGACAAGTGACGGGAGCCCCCCTTCCATGTTTGACTTTCGGTGGGAGGACCCACAGCACCGCTTCCTGTCCCCTCCATGATTGTCTTTGGCTGGCTCGCTGTCTTCTGTCCATATAGAAGGCCCGAGAAGACCACTTCTTGCCTTTCCTTGCTGTTTGCCCTAGCTGTGACTCCTGTGGACACTTAGGTATTCAATATATGTGTTCTAAATCCCGTGATCCACTTTCTGTCCTTCTTGGCCCCTGCCATCCTGTCCCAACGCAGCTCCGGTTTCATATACCGTGTGGCCCGTCAGCTCTTACCTGATACTCATTTGCAGTCTGTCTCCAGCATGTCTTTTTGGTGAAACCAACCTCTTGTACACCTTGTGTCAAATTATCTGATTCTGTGTGACGCCCTTTGACCCTGGCCCGTCAGCTCTTACCTGATACTCATTTGCAGTCTGTCTCCAGCATGTCTTTTTGGTGAAACCAACCTCTTGTACACCTTGTGTCAAATGATCTGATTCTGTGTGACGCCCTTTGACCGAGCCACCACTTCCTGTCTGTCCCTCTCTGCCCTCTGCCAGCCACGGCGCCCACCCGTGTGTTTGTGACTGTGCCCGACTGGGTCCCCGAGCCCCGCAGTTCTATTTGTGTTTTACTTTCCCTGCTGTCTTGTGTGAAAATGTCCTCGAGGCAATTCCTGTGTGCGTTGGTCCATCCACATCGGAGCGTTTCTCTTGTGAGCCTCTCGCAGCCACTTTTGTGTGCCCTTGGCTTAGTGCTTCTGTTTTCTGGAAGAATCACCTGTCACCGCCGCGATTCCCTTCCCCAGAGCCACGTTCCCTCCGTTTGGGGGACCTGCTTTTCCCTCTTGGGCACTGTAGCCATGTTGTTGTTGGAGATCCACTTCCTGGATCCTTCTTCTCTTGGCTGCTTCCTGTCTGTCCAAGCGCTTCCTGTTTGTACGGTCCGTTTTCTTACCGTCTTGGCCGGGTTTGATTTTGCTTGGCCAGGGCCTCATGCTTGCGCCCAAGTCGTTTTCCCTTTGTTCTGCGGCCCTCGTTTGTCTTTCGTATCTTCAGCCAGGTCCTGTCGTCTGGGGTCGTTCCCGGTCTCCCTGCCGCCCTGCCTTCACCTTTTGCCTGCTTTGCAGCATGGCTGCCTTCCCCTCCCACACACCCCTTCTCTAACATTGCGACCCTTGGCCCTCCGCTGCCTTTGAAGGAATGCTGCTCGCTGGATATTCGGGGTTGGTCTGGGATGGAAGAGCATTTGAACGCTGATCGTTATTGTTTTGTGAAGGTGGAGGGGCATATTCTGGAGAAGGTCGATGGGGGGCGGGTGGGGGGGGCATTGAGGTTGAAGGCTCTTATTCTCTCTGCCCTGGTCTTCATTCTGACCTTGGGGTTGGGTGTCTGCATGGGGAGCGTGGAGGAGAGGGAGCAGGTGGGCTTGGGGTAGGAGTGAGGGGCAAAGGCGAGGTCAGGGCCCGGACTGGGGAGGACATCAAGGTACTTGAGGGGCCCTTCCCCAACGGTGGGATTTTCCCCCCCAAACTCAGTGATTGCCCTGGGTTTGGGAGATGAGCCCCCCAGGTCTCCCGATAGTATGGCTAGCTCACCTGAGGTGTCTGATGTGTGGGCCACTCCTTACACATTCCAGGAGACTTTCTATGCATAGGGGATAGGAGTTTCCTTCCTCCAGGGAAAATTTTTCCCTAGGCTTGTCTCCATCAACTTCTCATGGCCCTCCCAGCCCCGCACCTCACGACTGTCCCCCCTAAAAACATGTCCACCACTTTAGAGAGAGTCTTTCGTGGTCGGTTGGGGGAAGGGTGAGGTTCTTACAGCGTCCCAGGATTCCTGGGGTGCAGTGACATCCGGGGGTCAGAATGAGGGTCTCCAGAAGAGGATCCGTTGGAAGGGCTGGAGGTTGGGATCCGGGAAGGGCTGGAGGCATAGCTGCAGTAGCCCCTGGGGAGCTGAAGAGGGTGTGTTTGCTGAGATGGGCTGAACAGATGAGCTGATTTGGAACCGAGGGTGGGCTGTGGGCTCCTGGCCAGGCCTGGGCACTGTGAAGAGGGCGTTTTTGGAATTTCCAGTAGGACTGGGGTGACATGGGGAGGGCCCGGGGAGGAAGGCGGGAGTTGGGATGGGGGCCGTCCCAGTGTTCTGGCTGCTCACAGGCCCCGCCGGGGGGTTACATGTGTGTCTCCCTCAGGCTGCCCATGGACCCCGAGGGCTGAAGGGAGAGAAAGGGGAGCCTGCTATGATGGAGCCTGTAAGTCATGGTATAGCCGTCAGCTGGGGCAGTGGAAGGAAGATAGTGATGCTCAGGGGCGGGACTAATGGGTGTTAGCCCTCTGGCCTCTGACTTTGAACTTTGACTCTCCAGGGGATGCTGGTGGAGGGGCCACCGGGCCCAGAAGGCCCTGCAGTAAGTTCAGCCATGACCCCTCAATCCCTGTTCTTTGCTCAAAGACCGTCTCTGGATGTGCATCGGGGCCCTCTCCACATGGGCCCAGGCCTCCTCCTCCGAATTCCAGAATTCTCTCCCAGTTGAGGAGATCCCCAGTTCTCTTCCAGATCTCCCCAGAGCCCTCTCAGTCACGTAGCCTTCTTCCAGCTCAACGCTCGGGCCACACACCTCTGACCTCTTCCCCTTTTGTTCCTCAGGGACTGACGGGTCCCCCTGGCGTCCAGGGGAACCCAGGCCCAGTTGGAGACCCTGGCGAGAGGGTAAGAGAGTGTCCTGATTGGAGGGGCTGCAGGGGGGCCCCGAGGACCCAACAGGAGACTACTAGGCTGAGTCACTCCTTGTGAGTCGGCTGGTCCATGGCTGACCGGGCTGTTGTGCTCCCCAGAACACAGAGGGTCGACTAGATGTTGGTTGGAGAGGGGTGTGTGCAGTCTGGTGCCTCGCCCCTGTTTTGCTCCACAGGGGCCGCGTTCAGGGGAGACCGAGGAGAGGCTCCGTTTCGTTTATTTAATGTAGAGAGCTTTAGCAACGCCAAGATTGTCATGTCTTCCGCGTCCTCGTGTCACCGCATCCTTCCCGTTCTCTCTTCCCCCCAGGGCCCCCCCGGCCGAGCAGGGCTCCCCGGATCAGATGGGGCCCCCGGTCCTCCTGGCACCTCGCTCATGCTCCCAGTGAGTTCTTCGGGGGGTTGAGGGGAAGATGACGGGGGAACCCCGGGGGATGGTGTTGCATGATCAAGAACCAGAGTGTCCGGGAATTGTGGGAGAGTCTCTGAGGACCATCTGTTTTGGGGGACGCACTCGGTCGTGTAGAACCAACTATGAGTCTTCAAAAGCCAACCCTAGCGTACCTAGAAGCAGGCAGCCAACAACAGTTTAGGGAGATCTAAAACCAAAGGAGCGGCCCTGGTGGCCTCCTTGGCTCGGCGTTGGGAGACTAGCCACAAGGTCAGGAGTTTGGACCCAGCAGCCACTCCGGGAAAAGAGGAGACAAGACTTGCTGTGCATGACCGTCTGACTGCCTGGGGAACCCTCTGCAGGGTTACTACGAGTCAGACTCACCTCGTGGCTGTGGGGTGGCTTTGGGTTTGGTTGAGCGCCCAAGGAGACTCTGGGGAAGAGGGTCTAGGGAGAGGGCAGGAGCTGAGTCTTCTGGAAACTTTACAGTCTTCTAGAACCCGATGGAAGAGTGGCAGGAAGACAGGAATGGTGCTCCAGAATGGGTGGGGGTGGGGGCGCGGCTCTTGCAGAAATGTGAGCTGAAGCCTCCTGCCGGGAGGGACACATGGATTTTCTGGAAGGAAACCTGGGCCTCTTGCCCCTCTCTGACCCCCTTCCCCACCTCTAGTTCCGCTTTGGCAGTAGTGCCGGGGACAAAGGCCCGGTGGTGGCAGCCCAGGAGGCTCAGGCCCAGGCAATCCTGCAGCAGGCTCGGGTGAGTCAGGGGTGGGGGGTGGAGTCTCATGTTGGGGAGCAAGGTGGGAAGGAAAGATTCTCAGAGGGGCCTGGAGGGATGCGGATGGGTGGGAATGACTGTCCGTCAGCAGCTCCGGGTCGGGTTAAGAGGAGAGGGAAGGCTGAGGAGCAGGTGAAGCAGTTGAAGGGGAGCAGGGAACAGGTGGGTGGATTTGGAGGGTACCAGGATGGGTACTCCCCAGGGGCCTCTTCCTCAGCTCTGCTGTCTCCTGTTCCCCTAGCTGGCGCTCCGGGGTCCCCCTGGCCCCATGGGGTACACAGGCCGCCCTGGACCCTTGGTGAGTGAGTGGGTTTGGGGGTAGGCAATCGTGTGTGTGTGTGTGTGTGTGTGTGTGTGTGTGTGTGTGTACATTTCTGCAAAGGAGTCAGGGTGAAGTGTCCTGGCTTCGTTTGGGGAGGGACTCGGAGGTCATTGTCAGGAGTAGCCTTCAATGTGGCCACCTTCTCGTCTCTCTGACAGGGACACCCTGGAAGTCCTGGCCTAAAGGGAGAATCTGGAGACCTGGGGCCTCAGGTGACCACCCTCATGACATCTGGTCTCTAACTCAACTCGGGGGCCCCCCTGCATCTGCATCTGTTGACCCCGTCTCTCTCTCTCCCACAACCAGGGCCCGAGAGGACCCCAGGGCCTCACAGGACCTCCTGGAAAAGCCGGCCGGAGAGTGAGTGGCCCCGGGA